TTTTTCATTTTTGGCCAAATTTACAAAGGCTATAGCCTTTGTGTTTTTAGCGAAAATTGATGGGTCCGGATTTCGACGGAAAAGTAGTCAAATCGACAGAGGTGGCCCAGGAGACCACAAAACTACATTTGGTTCAGCAAGAAACCACCCCTTACCAGAGAAACTTGAGTTTTAAGGGTGGTCTTTTGAATCTGGCGGTCAGCGTACTATGGGCTGCCTACCTCGCAGGCGAACCGGTCCAAAAACAGGCGTATCGAACTGAAAATGGCCCGGCGGCGTGAAACTTCGACGCAGAGATTGAAAAAGGATTCAGTCTGACCAATCCCAACTATTTCCAGCGATTTTCAAATTTTTCATTTTTGGCCAAATATACAAAGGCTATAGCCTTTGTGTTTTTAGCGAAAATTGATGGGTCCGGATTTCGACGGAAAAGTAGTCGAACCGACAGGAGAGAACCAGGGAACCACAAAACTACTTCTGTTTCCACCAGAAACCACCCCTGTCCACAGAAAACTGCATTTTAATAGGAGGTCTTTTCAATCTGGGTAGCGTACGATGGGCTGCCGACCTAGCAGGCGAGCCGGTACAAGAAAAACGGGCGGAACTCGCTTAGAATGGGTCTGCGACGTGAAATTTCGACGGAGAGTTAGTAAGAGGGTGCTGTCAAACCAATTCCAGCGATTTTCAATTTTTTTCATTTTCGGCAAAATTTACAAAGGCTATAAATTGATGGGTCCGGATTTTGATGGGGGAGTATTCGAATCGACAGGGGTGAACCAGGCACCACAAAACTACCTTTGTTTCTGTCAGAAACTGCCCCTGTCCACAGAAACTTTAGTTTTATAAGAGCTGGTCTCTCTAACTAAGGGCGGGTGGGTAGGCTACCTAAGGCGCACTGGCTAAGAACTCGGCACCATGATATTTAGACACAGCATGTGAAAAGGGAGTCTGCCCGCCCACCAATCCAAACCAATTCCAGCAATTTTCCAAATTGCCAAGATTTTTAAAAGACATTTTCAGTGATAACAAATCAGCCTGGATTTTGACAGAGGAGGATTGAAATCAACAACAAAGAACCAAGGCACCACAAAAAACATCAAAAACCACCCTTTGATGCACACGAAAGGAAGCTCCTCATAG